AACTCTGTACCATTGTGAAGGCTGATTTGAGATTTAAAAACTACGAAAAGAAAAATAGAAATAAACATCTCAACAAATAGATCTAATTCTTCAAAATATAGCATTGTTTCAATCAACATGATCAAACAGCAATTGTTGAAATTTTCTTTTCTTTGGCAAAACGTAAGCCTTTTTAAGTTTGACTTTTCTGAAAAATCAGAAAGTATATCGGTCTTATCTTTCATAAATGAATACAAGCAGTATTTCCTTGAATGATTTAGCACAATGTAAATATCATGAGTTCAGAGAAAAAACATATTTTAAAAAGCTAAAAAGCTGCATTAGTTTTCATGAATTTGTTGAATTGGAAACTTTTGTCTGTACATAGCATCAATACAAGACAAAACCATGGTTATATGTAAGCTTTTGAGTCATTCTTATGATGCATACTCTAAGTCAATTGAAACACTGAACATTATTGACACAAGCACATCTGAAACATCACAAGCCAAGGAGCCTCCACTCAATATATCAGCCCTGCCCATCAAGCATTTTCAGTACACAGTGCTAAACAAAGAATGTAGAGCCTTGTGCTATTGTGTCCATCTAGCGTGCAGGCCCTCAAGCACATAGTGTTCAGGCCATGTGAATTCATAACACTACCCTGCAGGACCTCTGGTCCTCTAGCACATGGGGTGTTCAGGCCCTCTAGCACATTGGGTGTTCAGGTCCTTAAGCACATTGGGTGTTCTGGCCTTTTAACACATGGGGTATATAGGCCCTTAAGCACATGGGGTGTTCAGTTACTCAAGCACATGGAGTGTTCAAGCCCTCTAACACATGGTGTGTTCAGGCCCTCAAGCACATGGGGTGTTCAGGCCCTTAAGCACATGGGGTGTTCAGTCCCTCAAGCACATAGGGTGTTCAGGCCCCCTTGCACATGGGTTGTTCTGGTCTTCTGGCACATGGGGTGTTCAGTCCCTCAAGCACATGGGGTGTTCAGGCCCTTAAGCACATGGGGTGTTCAGTCCCTCAAGCACATAGGGTGTTCAGGCTCTTAAGCACATGGGGTGTTCAGTCCCTCTAGCACATAGGGCGTTTAGGCCCTCTAGCACATGGAGTGTTTAAGCCCCCTTGCACATGGGGTGTTCTGGTCTTCTGGCACATGGGGTGTTCAGTCCCTCTGGCACATGGGGTGTTCAGTCCCTTAAGCACATGGGGTGTTCAGGCCCTCTGGCACATGGGGTGTTCAGTCCCTTAAGCACATGGGGTGTTCAGTCCCTCAAGCACATGGGGTGTTCAGTCCCTCTGGCACATGGGGTGTTCAGTCCCTCTGGCACATGGGGTGTTCAGTCCCTCAAGCACATGGGGTGTTCAGTCCCTCAAGCACATGGGTTGTTCAGTCCCTTAAGCACATGGGGTGTTCAGTCCCTCAAGCACATGGGGTGTTCAGTACCTCTGGCACATGGGGTGTTCAGTCCCCCTGGCACATGGGGTGTTCAGTCCCTCAAGCACATGGGGTGTTCAGTCCCTCTGGCACATGGGGTGTTCAGTCCCTCAAGCACATGGGGTGTTCAGTCCCTTAAGCAAATGGGGTGTTCAGTCCCTCAAGCACATGGGGTGCTCAGTCCCTCAAGCACATGGGGTGTTCAGTCCCTCTGGCACATGGGGTGTTCAGTCCCTTAAGCACATGGGGTGTTCAGTCCCTTAAGCACATGGGGTGTTCAGTCCCTCTGGCACATGGGGTGTTCAGTCCCTCAAGCACATGGGGTGTTCAGGCTCTTAAGCACATGGAGTGTTTAGGCTCTTAAGCACATGGAGTGTTTAGGCCCCCTTGCATATGGGTTGTTCTGGTCTTCTAGCACATGTGGTGTTCAGGCCCTCTGGCACATGGGGTGTTCAGTCCCTCATGCACATGGGGTGCTCAGGCCCTCAAGCATATGGGGTGTTCAGACCCTCGAGCACGTGGGGTGTTCAGGCCCTCTAGCACATGGAGTGATCTGGCCCCCTTGTACATGGGGTTTTTAGGCCCTCTAGCACCGAGGGTGTTCAGTCCCTCAAACATATGGGTTGTTCTGTTCTTCTGGCACATGGGGTGTTCAGGCCCTCTGGCACATGGGGTGTTCAGGCCCTCAAGCATATGGGGTGTTCAGGCCCTCTGGCACATGGGGTGTTCAGTCCCCCAAGCACATGGGGTGTTCAGGCCCTCTGGCACATGGGGTGTTCAGGCCCTCAAGCATATGGGGTGTTCAGGCCCTCTAGCACACGGAGCGTTCCGGCCCCCTTGCACATGGGTTGGTCTGGTCCTTTGGCACATGGGGTGTTCAGGCCCTCAAGCATATGGGGTGTTCAGACCCTCAAGCATATGGGGTGTTCAGGCCCTTTCACACACGGGGTGTTCAGGTGATGTGAATTCACAACACAATACCACTTCCTAACAATGGAATCATGTCCAGCAGCTGGTGTCAGGTTGTGGCTCACCTTGAACACTGCTGATACACATGATACATTACAATTATTCACAACTTCAGGAAACTGGTGATGGATTTTGTTGATTTTTATCTTCACATCATATTTATCTTTTTCGGAGGCGTCATGCACAGATATACTCAAGTGAGAGGTAAAAATATTGAGCCACAAGGATCTGTAGCTCGGAATTAGGAATCAATAATGACAGCCATGTTTAAAGTCGGGTTGGAATTGTGTGTGCAATTCTTAGAGACACCTGGTCAGAGTGTCAAAGACGTCAACATAGCAGTAATACTGGAAAAAGGTTGAGGTACACGAACATAGCTTGATCAAAGAAATTTTTTACAATGCTAAAAACGAATTATATATTATAACACACCACATTCTTGCCACATAACCAACTTCATAATGATACATGCAGAAATACCAGAGTAGTGGGAAAGTGACATTTTCAGTATAACAGACATGAATATGTTAAGTCACAATGGAATTCAGTGAGCACTTATTAGACAAACCATATGTCCGATCATTCCTACAAAATTTTGTTGCAGTTTTAGTGGGGATGTAAAAAATGTGAAAGAAAACAACAGACAGAAAATCAGATGGACAACCAGAAGGAGTACCAGAAGGACAATGTGCCATACAATAAGCTCACTTGATTTTCAGTCAATTTTTCAAAAGTATAGATAAATCAGATGACCAACATGAGTTCTTTCATACAGTTCCTTTCCCCAAAAAACAAGTACATATTCCTTGAAAGATAGAAATCTGTAGGCAGACATGGTAGAATGAATGAATAAATAAATATTGCTTTACACAGCATCAGCAATATTACAGCTATTCGCGGCGACAGACATGGTAGAGGTGTGGTTATTAAAATTGTAAATACCCGATATATACATACTTGCCAGTTAAAGTTTCAGTTTGTAGTCGCCGACATTAAAATCAATCTACCTGCATTGCATGCAGACATATTGTGACTGCTAAACAGGATAACCTGATATAGTTTTGTTTTCAACCCAAAAGCAATACAGAATACAGCATCTTTCCATTAAAACATGACTCAGCAACAAATAACAAGAATAAGGATGTAAAGAAATCTCATAAAAATACTTCAGAATGATATTATGATTCTAAAAATACCTGCCATTGAACGTCTATAAAAAAGTGCACAAAAAATATACATGCTCTGGGTTCTTCACACCATTGAAAAGACAGCTGTTGCCATTTATAGATTCTACAGAGCTAGAAAATGGCCTAATTGAATGATTCCAAGGATCTTCAGTGTTACTGTCCTTTTAATGAGAACAGATAATTGACCATGAGAACAACACCACATGAAATACCATCGTTCTACTTCAAATACCACTTTAGGATTCTTAACAATATCATCAGATCATTATTAATCCCTATATCAACTAACAAATACTGTCATCATATAAAAAGAATACATCAAGGATTTCTCCAGGGTTCCAAAATAATTGCCCTTGACAATATGGCTCAAATTGGGATTTCTTTAGTTCTTATTTTCTTAAATTCAGAGGTATCCTAACATTCCAAATTACAACTAAGCATTAATGCCTATTCCGCCTTGTTGGTCTGTTTCTCAGTGAAATATACATCACCTCTGCAAAGTCATAGCATTATTCAGTACTTAAAAATTGTTCTTACTTACATGCTTACCCTAATAACATGGATAACATGAATTGGAAAGTGTTTAATTCCAATATTGGAAGTTTTAACATGTTTTATGATTTTTTTCAGCAGACAAATCAGCCTCTGAGCAGCCTCTTGATAAATCCATGTATGTCTACTCCTACAGCACTGTACTTGAGTGGCCAAAGGCTGTGGGTCTGACAATGTCAATGGCTGATGAAAAATAAGGACATGTGAAAACATACAGCATAATTTCTTATGACAAACAATTTTATGTGGTTTTGAATCCAATATAGAACCTTATTTCAACATATAAATCATGTTAATCATTGTTAGTATCATGTTCACAAACTTATTAATTTCATATGGAGACGTGAATAGATCCATCAACATAGTTTGTTGATCTTTCATTAGCAGCGATTACTTCAGGTTGAATTGCAAATGATTGATGCATTAAATAGACTTTTCCTGAACGAAGCATTATTAATCATGTTTTAATCAATCATGCTGTCATCAATGTGGATTTGACCTTCCACAAATAGTTCTTGATTTAATAATATTATGGATAGAGTCGCGCAATCATGGCAATAGTGCCTTACATCAATATCATGAATGAACAAGCAGAAATATTTCCCTACACCTGCAATACACCATAGGACCACAAATACTGGGTGACAACTGGATGCACACATGGCACAATGAGTGAGTGAGTGAGTGAGTTGGGTTTAACGCCGCTTTTAACAGTATTCCAGTTACATCACGTCGAGTCAGCTTAATGTGGGAGGAAAGCCCGAAGTGATGCAGGTCTCAGACATTTACCACTTCGGTGAAACCCACGAGCACGGGTATGGTGCTGACAAACCTAGAAACATAATCGGGGCGAACCAGGATTCGAACCCACAACCATAGGTTTCTGGCGTGCCCAAGGGACGCAACTCTGCATAGCGAACCGCGGCGCCCTGGACGACTGGGCCACCCGTGCCCCCCGTGCCCCCCATGGCACAGTGAACATCATCAGTGAAAGATGCAGGTTCAACAACCTCAATAAACCATGAACCATGTTCACCACGTTTACTGGCACACTTTATTAAAACTACCAGCAATTTCATTTTTTAACTGAAGTATGCTGTCAAGGAATATGATGACTGATAATCTCATATAGTTATTGATGTCATATTGGTGCAAAATGGTAGACATATGTTACCAATGAAATATCAATATATAGATTTTCAATCATCATGATCATTGGGAGTTGATGTCAATACTTTGATCCCAAACTCTTTTATGGTCAAGCAGATAAGGTAATTGTCATGATTGTCAAGGACTAAGCTACATGATAGCTTGAAAATGTTGTTACCTCTAAAATGCTGACAGTATTCCAGTATTCTCAATGATAGTAAATCGCATGATATCTTAAGCATATCTAGGATAGTCTAATCTGTAAGAACACAATGTAAACACAATTTTATGGATAACAACTTCTTTAATACTGTAAAAAGTGATGTTTCGGTATAGATCCTTATACTGTTGTCCTGCTTGACAATGGTAAAAGGATCCATACCGAAACGTCGCTTTTTACAGTACTAAAGAAGTTGTTATCCATAAATTTGTGTCTACCTTGTCACCAGTCAACATCTAAGTAATGCCTTTTAAACAAGTTAACTCACTGCATGCTTTCTATATCAAACCACACAGAAAATCACTTGCATGCTACTTCAAGTCAACACAGCACTTTCATACAGTCCAAATTATGCCAGCGTTTAAGGTCAAGAAAGCTCGGATTTCCTGAACAAATGCTTCATGAGATACTCATAGGAAGCGTTGATAATTCCCCATGAGAGAAACGATCGGGTGTAGTTGAGGTGGTATCCTCGGAATAGTTTTCTGACACTGTACCCGCGTTCTTCAAGTACGACCAGGAAGGTACGCCAAACCCCTAAATACTCTCCTCCTAGCTTCGATTGCATCCTTGTCTTGACAACATTCAGGGGGTAAAAGAAGGTACTTATAAAAGCACCCAGAACAGCACCACTGATGAAATGTTTCAAAAACCTCTCTGTTGGACTTTCCCCTAGCGGCACAAGATCGTGGAGAAAGTCTCTCCCTAAGAAGAACATGACATTGCTCGGTCCATTTCGCATCAGGATCGGAGTAAGGCCTCTATAGTACTCCCTGAGACCATAAGTACGCAATTCATACATGGCATGAGGTGTGTTGGTAAATCTCTTATGATAGGTCCGATCCTGCATTAAAGTCTGAACACGCTCGAAAGGCGACAGTGTCGCTTCAGTCATCCCAGCCAACATCGCTGCCGTTGCTTGAACTGATGTTTTGGACCATGTCGGACACTGATCCATTAACATGTGCTGAAACTTGTGGTACATCCCAAACATCAGCGACAGGGAGGTTGTTTTCTGCATCAGTGGGGGGACTACACCACGGTACAAGTTGCCAAGGCCTTCCTTCTGTAACTGTGTCACAGCTTTGAAACCTGAAACAAGAGCCTGACATGAATACCATATCCGTGAAAAGAGTGTCAAATAGATGGATGAATATAACATCTAAAATAATGGCTTCATTTTCCTCAGTTGTTTCAGATATTCCGAACTTGTTTGTTGCTTAATGCTGCACTCAGCAATATTCCGGCTTGTTATCAGCGGTCTGTAAATAACAAAGTCTGGACCAGACAATGCAGTAATTGACATCAAAAGCATTGATCTACGCAATTGGCATCGGTGACATGCATCAACCAAGTCAGTGAGCCTGACCATCTGATCCCGTTAGTTGCCTCTTACGACAAGCATACTAGGTTTACAGGCCAGAAAGAGGCAAGAATGTGAATGTTTAAAAAAGAGATCAAAGTAATACAATTTTGTGTGAGAAATACTATGACATACAGTTTTCCGCATGACAATTACCAGATGTTTCAAACCATAAGCATTATATTGATGAGCATGAGAGTCAGCAGGTATGTAGTCAGTGCCCACTTGCTAAGTGACCTCAGCACTAAAACTATTGTAAGTCTATGTTAAAAGTATGGGAGTTCTGATCATCTCAGCGCTAAGATCACTTTGTGCACGTGGATCATGATCAGTTCTTACACTTCCACATGTACTTTTCAACTATAACCTGAACATTTAGTAGCTTGAATAGGGATAACATATAAAGACACCAACTAAAAAGCCTGAATTTTGACTAGCCTCAGGATACCATTAACATAAGACAAACTGACTCAGGCTAGTAGGCTATAAATATTATGAAGCATTGTTCAAATAATTCATCCTGAGAAGGTTTACGGTTGAAGGGAACCTGCGATTAGTGCTTACATGCTGCACGGACCATCCTACCTTTGTTTGTCTGTTTATTGTTTAATGGAACTCTCAACAATATTCCAGCTATATGACCTGTCTGTAAATAATCGAGTCTGGACCAGACAATCAAGTGACTGATTTCATGAGCATCGATCCACGCAACTGAGATACAATGACATGCATCAACTAAGTCAGCGAGCCTGAGCACCCGATGCCGTTAGTCGCCTCTTACGACAAGCATAGTCGCCTTTCGGGGCAAGCATGGGTTGCTGAAGACCTATTCTACTTGGTTCCTATAAACATGATGAAGCAAGGTTCATATAATTCAACCTGAAAAATGGTAGGGTTGAAAGGAACCTGCAGTTCGTGTGTACATGTTGCTTGGAGCATCCTACCTGAAATACCATGTAACTGCTGCCTGAACATGGCTTTGTTGATGGGAAAAGTAGCGGTGATGTTGATGAGAGCTGCTCCCCATCCGCATATGAACTCTCGGTATTCCTCCAGGTTCATCTGCATTTTCACACTAACCACATCCTCCCCTGGCATGTTGCATGACTGCTTCACAACCATGGCAACTAACCTGTTGCCATAGCAACTACAAACAAAAAAATATATATGAAAACATTAACTCATATGACTAATATTAGCTGCAGTAACCGGATTTCTGAACTTCTCCTCCATTTTGATATCAGCTTTTGAGACACTCCTTAATTCAATTTCAATCTTCATCAAATATTGATGCAACTCTGCACAGCGAATCACAGCGCCTTAGACGACTGGGCCACCCGTGCCCCCTTACAGGGATTGAAAGTGTGCAGTACAGTTACTAGCTGACATGAAATGAGCACTCGGGGAGCTCCAGACAAGCCGCACATTTGTGTAAAATATGCACAATATGCCACCACAGCCCATTCAAATTTAATTGCTTGCATACAAATATTAATACATATATTTTAAAAACTCAACAGTTTAACATCACTGTGCATAATCATGGTAATTACTTGGTCTTCACAGATCTTTATTTTATGATCGAAATGCAGGCATCACATATACATGAACTCAACTTCTGTGAATAACACAAAAACAGTGCAATGTCTCGCTTTTGTAACTTAGCCATGTATTGCTGTTGTAATCTTATATGATATGTTACATACTTGTGGCATGACATTTTCAGATGCAAAATAGAAGTCACCTGAAACAGCATTTTAAGCAGAATCACGTTCAAAAAGGATTCTCTCATCGGTTTAAAATTACCCATTAGACTAGACATGAGGGAGTAAAATTACATTGAAAACCTAAAGAAAAAGTGAATGATAATATGAGTAAAATACACAATGTCTCAAAATATTATCTGGAGCCTTGTCACCAACAAACATCATTGAGCAAGCCTTGCAAGGTTGAGGTCAACACTGCTTGTCACTATTGATGTCATACATTGATACTCAAAACGGCAGTCGACTACAGAAAAACGTCAAATATTAAGCTCTGTTACCGCAAAAACTATAGATACACTCACTTCATCGACGTCTATTGTGTTGATTGCTCAAAATGTATTGTCATTTATACTTTAAAGTCTTTAAATAAAAACAATAACTTCCACAATGATGTGGCCGGCAAATCAGCTGTTTCAGTCAGATGAGGTCGTTGTGACTTGAAACCTCTGATTAACCAATCTGTATTTTCCAAATTCATGGTAGAATGCCCAATAATTGCCACAGGCTGCTCATAAAGAATAACATACTGCACTCCACTTCACTCAGAATGTTTTAAACAGACGTTACTTCTGAAACTTACCAAACATTTATATTGTTCTGAGAACTTGAAGAATATATTTTTTTTAATTCCATTCATAATAATGACAATAACCATGACAATAGCATAGCAAGCATAACATTATTGTGGCATGCCAAATACAGAGTTGAAACTTAATTAACATGATTAAATAGACAAATACAATTACAATCAACAATTCTCAAAATAGGCATGATATTGATTAGGCCAAACTTTTTTAATCATATGTTTCACAGATTTTTTCCAGCTTTGCCACAGAATGTCGGTCAAAATTGAAACAAAAATATTTGTCAATTATTTAATTATTTATTTATATGAAAATCATTCCGCTATGGAGGTGCAGGTGGCCGATTGAATCGCGGATAGTGATGTATACCGGTACATGGAATTCATATATAACATTTTATATTGTATACATTGTATAAGAGGGTCCATATTAGCAGCGGGAGACATAATGAAAATAAATATTTTAATGTATAATTTATTTCTTTTTCAGCTGCTTTCCAGGAGGGCCGCAGGCCCATGAAATGAAAAAAAATAAATATGTGGCCTAAGTCAGTGAAGCTATTTCCTCTTTACAATGTTCTCTAGTCATATTCATAAGCCTCCACCTGCACGTACCAGTATGTTTCATGGTGTGCACAGTGTATTGAATTCGAAACCAATGGGGCCTTTGAGAGGGATCAATTCTTTTTATGACCTGTACTAATCAAATACTAATTCCTAACGTCTCAATATATTGCAATAAAATGATAGAACACAATAATCATTAATACCATACACAGACAATGTCACAGCCATATGAATAGTACCAGTAGTTAGCAATGGTTAGAGGTCATATCATGGCTGTTTACCACAACCAAGGGTTGACATATCTGTGTTGGGAAGTCAGTGACTTAAACTTACAGACAGTTGTTCAGGTAAGTCACAGTCCTTGGTGTGTTTCTTAAAGCAAGTGCATATCTGAGACAAGCTGGTTGGTTTGTTGTTTAATGCCACACTCAGCAATATTCCACCTATATGACGGCGGTCAGTAAATAATAAAGTCTGGACCAGACAATCCAGTGATTGACATCATGAGTTTCGATCCACACAATTGGGATACGATGATATGCATCAACCAAGTCAGCGAGTCTGACCACCCGATCCCGTGAGTCGCTTCTTACGACAAGCATAGTCGCCTTTTACGGCAAGAATGGGTTGCTGAAGACCTATTCTACCCCAGATCTTCAAGGGTCTTTTAGGTAGGGCACAGTCCTTGGTGTGTTTCTTGAAGCAAGTTCATATTCGCGACAAGTGTTACAGGAATATCTGATAACAACAGACAGATTCTAAGAGTACCTAAAATTGAATTTTTGTTTCAGCTTTAAGCCATTCTGTTAAATATCAACTGCCTGCATTTGTAATTGATATAGAAGTATCATCATGATCATGTTTATTCAAAATAAAGGATTATCACAGGAGCAGTCGGTGCCCAAAGCACTTCAGTCAAATTCAGTCAAAATGTTTATCTTTAGCTTGAAGGCTTGGCGTGTTTTGAAATAGATTTTAGTTATATTATTCAGGTTACCAGTAGCTAAGCCACCTTGAGCGTATTCATGGTTATAGTTGAATAGACCAGGGCCTCATACCATCCTTAGCTGTACATGTTGTCATTTCAGTCAAAGAATGTATCATATTGTACATATGCTGTAAATCAAGGCATAATGAGTCACAAAATTAATTAATTAAAAATTAATGGGAATGTCAGCCACTACCCTCAAATGTGTCACCAAATGAATACGAGTGGCAGTTCCTAGCCTACAACATTTTAAAAGGTGTCATGAGGGTGCCCCTTCCTTTAAGAATTCCTTTTCTCATTCATGACAACACCAATAAAGTAGACTTAAAAAGAGTTAAATAATAATGTTGACTTTACTAACAACCTTGATATATTCTGCTTGACATATGATCAAACTTTGATTAATAGCAATTAGGCAAAATAAGAAATATATGTAATTGAGATAGGTCAGGTCAACTGACGAAGACTGTGAAGGTTCCAAGCATTGCTGCACAAGTTAATATGATCTTTTGAAAGTAAGTAATTAGCAGCATCATGTATTCATTAAGCATCACTATGTCTGCTCTTACTGTACAGGGGTAAATACCATTGGTCATATGCAACTAGTCACTTTGTAATAATAGTTTAAATAACAACAAATAGCCCTCTAGATTTTCATGAACCTCAGAATAACAAACTTGTGGCTGTGTCTATGCCTGCTGTACTTGACATTCGCCTCTGTGGATCAGCTGGGTTGTGCCCATAATAGTAAGGGAGGGGTGAGGTGAAATGGGGATTAATGTCAATTTCAAGATTATTGAATTATATAGCGACGTGCAAGCATGTGTGTGTGGTGTGATTGCTTGTATTAGTCCAGATGTATGCCAGTTTAAAGGGCCAGTATGTAGACAGTTATGAAACATTGTTTGGAAACAATATCCGATAACCCCCAAGCTTTCTCTCCTCTGCTTGCCTTTTCCCCGCAAACAGACTTTTCTCTTGTATCTAACAAATTAAGACAGATGGACATCCATTATCATAATATTCGTAAGTGTAGGGCCAATATCGTTGGATCATATGTTTTCAGATGTCATACATTTTTGGATGGCCGTGTTCATCGCGATTACTCGCGCTAAAACAAGGGGTGTGGCTTCAAACAGAGATTGTAAATATTCAGATGATCATGATGATGGCTTCTTTTTAAGATAAAGTTTGTGACACGTTTTACAGTTGTTCGTGTGATTAGCAAGACAACTATTAATGTTTCTTAGTGTCTGAAAACCCTTAACTTGGGATATATTATTCAGCATTTGTCTATATATTAGTTGGGGATGGGACGAGTCCAAACTTACTACCCGGGTACCCACCCAAACCAGTCCAAGGCCTAATATTAGTCATCATAATTCAACTAGTCTCATGCCAAAGGGATAGCGCAGCTGTTGCATTAATGTTACAAATTACCATGATTCTATTGTTAGCTATGTAGAAATATATTAATTAAGAGGTGTTAGATTCAAATAGGATACAGTCCATTTTTATGAATATATAGAGCATATCGACAACATAACTCAACCAAACTTAATTTCTTTTCTGTCCTAAAACGCCTTTGATAGCAATACATAAGAACGAACGTTTTGAGACAAAACGTCAATGTCAGTTTCACGGTTCAACGATTTTCCCCAACAGCAAATGCATTTCTCAGACACCTGAACTCGTGTGTGAAAAAATTTTCTGTGTCCTCGTACTCGACCTCGCAACACAAGGCTGAACTCCATTGTGCTGTGAAATAATTAATTCGTACATTAATACTCAAATGGCTAACTGTGTTATCGTGAAGATTGTCACTACAATACATATATATTATAACTGTTTTGTTTACCTCTACAGTGTCATGAACTGTTAAAATGAATGTCAATGTTGCTTCTGCTATTTTACGCCCTCTGTTAGGCAGATAACTCTGATTGACTATTGAAACGGATCACCGCTAGGAACAGATTTTTCAGTTCGCGGCAAAGGCATATAACAAGTACATTGTACTTGGTGCGCGGGTCAAGTTGGTGGTTGAGTATGCATAACTATGCAATAAATATTATAAACGATAAATATGATTTCAACAACAATAGCGTGACTCCAAAACATAAATTGCTTTCCCAATTATTTCATTTGGCATCTGGCACTCACATTTTGTTGGGGTTTTCTACGCATCAGAAAGTGCACAATCACATTTTACAGTATTATTTACAGAATATAATTGTATCATGAAATACAGATTCTTTTAAACCTAATTATTTCTAATATGACTAGGCGACCGGAATATGGATTAAACCTGTTTATTACTAAAATCCCTATTGTAGCAGATTATTTTCATAACAGAATATAATTAACAAAACTTCCCACGTGACATAAAGGTAAGGCAGCATGTTTTGTTTTTTTGTAAGTCGTAGTTGGGACACGTGTTATACATAAACATGCAATCGATAGTATACTCAATTTGTTGACGCCATATTTAATTTTAATCGGTCGACATCGTAAACCAAATGGTGAACAGGCAGAAACACGTTTCTAAAACACGATGAAACGTGAAAGTCAAGAACAGACTCGAAAAGAGGTGAGACTTTAAACATACACTGTTAGAGTCTGCTAACTATCATTTTGGCACCCGGTTTTTCACAATCATTTTCCATTGAACACACAGCCACGCAACGAAAGCTGTGTTATTGTGCAATAATAATCCTTGACCTAACTAAAAATACCAGTTTTGTAATATTTAATGTCCGAAAATAACTAGTTTCTTTACTGTCATATCTAATTTTGTGACAACGCAGTACCCAGTTACTGCTGCTCTTTCAGAATGTCACAGTTTAGCCCACGCCCAAGCGTAATGCATGCAGGTATACGCACAGTTTAGCCCACGACCAAGCGTAATGCATGCAGGTATACGCACAGTTTAGCCCACGACCAAGCGTAATGCATGCAGGTATACGCACAGTTGAGCCAGTTTACCTTGTACACAAAATTACCCTTAGACAAGTTTTTGGTTTATAGATTGGAGTACGCACAGATTAAAATGCGAGCAGTGTTGTTTTTTTAAAGAAATACTTTATTTGTGTCGGTTAGATAAATGTCACTTCTGATTTCAGACTCTCATGGTTAAATTAAAACGTCACTACTCGAGAATAACCAGTCCAACGAAACAGATTCTATTTGGATTTAAAGGTAAAATAGCGGTGAAAAATATGTGAATGGATCATTGAAAATGCGAAAAGGCTGAACATAAGAAAGAGAATTTATGTCAACTCCTTCACCTGATGAAGGAGTAAGTATATATATACTCCGAAACGTTGTGTTCCTCATAATAAAGAAGTTGACATAAATTCTGTTCCTAAATACTCTTGCTAATGTGTATCACTTCTAAATGCCATTCAAAGACTTGAGGTTAAGCACGTTCTGCCCCGCCAATAGCACCCGCCACTAAGACACACGTGGAAATGGTTAAAGTTGTATATTTGAGTCCCAAGATGTCACAGCCTCAATCATGTATAAAGCGGTGACAATTGCGTTTGCTATGCGTTGATCATAGGTTACAAAGACACATCGCTATGCATAGCCTTATGGGGCATGGTCGATAGCAACCATTTAACGCCTTTCACAAGCTAACATTCAAAAGATTAATCAATGATAAAGTTAAACTCTTAATAAATAATAATTCCGTATTTGAATAGTAAACATCTGCAGTTTGTGGGGTATTGTGAGAGCTGATGTGTGAGTATGAAATAGTCCTTATTGAGTTATAATGTTCATCTCGAAATAATGGTTATCTCGAAATAATGTATTTCTCGAAAGTATGCTGTTGTCGTTTTATTGCTTTTCTCGAAACAATGGTTACCCCAAAATAAAACGAATAACGTTATAACGCTTAATGCTCCCTAAGAATGTGTGTTATAAAGAAATTGTTATATGAGATTGTGTCTCATACTGATTTTACGAAACGAGTGTCAGAATTCTTGTATTTCCCGAGCGAGAGCGTGAGTAATACATGAATTCTTACAGGAGTTTCGTAAAATTAGTATGGCACAAATGTGAGTGTAATGATTTCTTTATTACCGTATTCGTCGCTATTCGACGTAATAAGCGCCCCGCTCTAAATAAGCGCCCACGGCGATAATTGCTAACATATTGGCTTGTAAACAATCCCAATTAGCACCCCTTCCGATTGATCAATGTATACTTATTTATAATGTGACTTATTTATTCGTGTATAATACTCACTCGTGTGTTATATGCGCCCTTAATTATGGGCAATTAAATTCTGGAAAAATATATCTGTCGTATATAAACATTTCAGGCTGTCAGCATAAACCACTTAATTTATCTTTCACCACCACCACCAAAATAATATTCTAATAAGAGCCCCCTATATCTCAATTTTGAAAGCACCCTCTCATTATTGCTTAATCCGTTGGAGATCCCCTTGAGAAAAATGCACTGATCACGAAATGTCTTCATTGAACATCAGTTTTGTCGAATGGCGTCGACAATCTTAAACGTCATTCCGACCTTTCGTCACAATAAGATTCGAATGCCGTCAACAGTGTCGTCCGGATGACGTAAACAATACACTGGTTTGCGTGAAATGACATTTGCACAAGTGCATATACGATTTTTATGAAGACCGTTACTTCAAAACACATGGAAATAGAGATTAGTATTCGAGCATGTGTCTCATACTGAAACGAGTGTGAAAATTCTTGTATTTCTCGAACGAGAGCGAGTGCAATACATACATTCTTATACAAGTTACGCATATCAGTGACACACACGCGAGTGTAATAAGTTTATTATTACCCATAATTTCTTCACACTTTTCAGCCCCTTTGTAGAAAAATGCACTGGTCACGACCATTCGTGACCAACTTGTGTTATTCCGGGACAAGAAGAATAGTGACTCGTGCCCCTCTCGTGGCCGTTTTTGCGACTGGGTTCCGCCTTAACTAAAACGGGCATAGCTAAAATAATTGTCAATTCGTTGCATAATTATGCACATATATTTCCCCCTTATATCATACGTATTCCAGATGATGTTTAAAACAAATCAGGATACTACGGTGGCCCATAAGGGACATGGAGTCTGTTTTTCAATATTTTGAAACCAAAGAAAACTATTTTCACCGCGGTGGTTTCATTTTAGTTTTGGACATTTTCGCTTTTGGTTTTGACATTTTTATTTTAGTTTTTTCCATTTTCGTTTTTGTTTTTTGACATTTTCGTTTTAGTTTTGGACATTTTCGTTTCACTTTTCAGCGATTCAATATCTTCTTTACACATGATTTATCACATATTTGTAAGACAAATCGTGTTAATTTGCAAAAGGTAACGATAAAAGTAAGTGAAATGTCAAAATAATGAAAAAACAGACTCCATGTCCCTTATGGGCCACGTAGGATACAGTATGACTGAATACACATGACTGTATCTCGGGTATATATTTAGATGCAAGACATATGTAAGATCAGAAATTATTCCTGAAGTACTGGAAGTCATACGCGCATTCTGATTGGTTTGTCGTATTTTCGCACATAACATTAATCGATAATGGGGACGAGTTTTCTTGCAGGTTGCGGAAAGTTGCGATCGAGTGGTTACGAAGATCACGACCACCGTCTCAGAAAACCACAATTGTCGAATGACGTCAACATCTCCAGCTATGACGTCGTTTCTAGTGTGACGTCATTCCGACCTTACGTCACAATAATATTCGAATGACGTCAACAATGTCGTCCGTGTGACGTTAGCAATACACTAGTGCGCGTGAAGAGATAATTGTACTAGTGCACATAAGATGTTTATGGTTTGGTTTGGTTTGTTGTTTAACTCCGCACTCAGCAATATTCCAGCTATATGACGGCGGTCTGTAAATAATCGAGTCTGGACCAGAGAATCCAGTTATTGACAACATGAGCATCGATCCATGCAATTGAGACCGATGACATGCATCAACCAAGTCAGCGGGCCTGACCACCCGATCCCGTTAGTCGCCTTTTACGAGAAGCATAGTCGCCTGTAACGGCAAGCATGGGTTGTTGAAGACCTATTCTAACCATGTGGGTAATAAACATCACTATGACCTAAGTCTGCATTCGTCAGGGCCCACTTGTACAAAACGATCTTAGTGCTAAGACTATTGTAAGCCTATGTTAAAGTATGGGAGGTAAGATCATCTTCGCGCTAAGATCGCTTTGTGCAAGTGGGCCCTGATCATCCCGTGTGTAGAAAGTAGTTATGAAGAAAGACGAACCCGTGAACTAACGTCTTGATACTTAATTAGAAGAGCAGGAATTTCTCATGAAGATTCCTGTTAAAAGAATATATGTCCCCAGCAACCAACTTGTGGTAAGAGGCGACTGGATGGATCAGGTGGTCAGGCTCGATGACTTGGTTGATTGGATGTCACCGTATTTTAATTGTGTGGATCTATGCTCATGATATCATCACTGGCGTGTCTGGTGCAATCTTTATCACTTACAGACCGCAGTTATACAGCTGGTATATTACTGAGTGCCGCGTTTAACAACAAACAAACAAATAAACAAGAAATTAAAGGGAACATGTGAAACATAACTTACCAAATATGTTCCGGAAACAGTGGCGTAATGTTTTCATTTGGTTTCCATGCCGTCTCCAAAGGCTGCGAAATCTTAAACATGCCTCATATAATTAATTAGTACTTAAAATGGAACGTTGTTCGGGAATTGTCTACATCTACAAATATATAAAACATCACAGGACGTTTGACGGCGAAAAAAGTCCCACTTCCGGTTATCTAATTTGCATATCTAGTTTGCATACTTATGTCATTGGGGTATGACATACATGTTTTTATGTCATAAGCTTATGTCATGGATAAATGCTTTAGTTAAATGATAAATAATGTTATGCCACCTATAAGAGATGATAAGAGAATGATTTAATTGCACGACGGGTGTTCAGTAGTGTGATTTAAGACAATGAAACACAATTATACGTTTGGAAATAAATATTTATTTTTAAACTCTCTAACATCTATAACGTTCTCCTCCTGTAGAGGGACAGTGGTTAAAGCGTTCGCTCGTCACGCCGAAGGCCTGGGTTCGATTCCCCACATGGGTACAATCTGTGAAGCCAATTTCTTGTCTTCCCCGTCGTGATAGTGCTGGGTTATTGTATAAAATGCACTCACTCTTCCTGTTAATGAATAACCGGTTTACAACATCACGTCTTTCTTTCAGAGAAGTCTGTCTCAAGGGCATCATGCATTTGTGGTATGCATACATGACCCCTAGAACTATTGTCCCCGTTATCTTCGGTTTACTGTTGACCGTGGTGGCAGTGGAACATATATTTACCATGACGATACTGCACGGAAAATCAACGCCGTTCTCAAGAATGCTCCTTTCCACAAGTGGGAACGGTTCAGATCTTCATTGTCCAAGTGTAAGACTTTCTGCCCAAGTCCTACCCCAGATAGCCCTGGCTAGTTACCCTGGCTCAGGCAACACGTGGGTCCGGCACCTCCTGCAGCAAATGACAGGTACTGTAACAGTAAGATATATAATAGGTAATGTAACTGTAAGGGATATAATAGGTAATGTAACAGTACGAATGTAACTGGTAATGTAACAGGTAATGTAACAGTAAGGTATGTAACTGGTAATGTAACAGTAAGGAATGCAACAGGTAATGTAACTGTAAGAGATGTTATAGGTAATGTAACTGTACGGGATGTAATAGGTAATGTAACAGTAAGAATGTAACTGGTAATGTAACAGGTAATGTAACAGTAAGAGATATAATAGGTAATGTAACAGTAAGGTATGTAACTGGTAATGTAACAGTAAGGAATGTAACAGGTAATGTAACTGTAAGAGATGTTATAGGTAATGTAACTGTACGGGATGTAATAGGTAATGTAACAGTAAGAATGTAACTGGTAGTGTAATAGGTAATGTAACAGTAAGAGATGTTATAGGTAATGTAACAGTAAGGGATATAATAGGTAATGTAACAGTAAGAATGTAACTGGTAATGTAACAGGTAATGTAACAGTAAGGTATGTAACTGGTAATGTAACAGTAAGGAATGCAACAGGTAATGTAACTGTAAGAGATGTTATAGGTAATGTAACTGTACGGGATGTAATAGGTAATGTAACAGTAAGAATGTAACTGGTAGTGTAACAGGTAATGTAACAGTAAGAGATATAATAGGTAATGTAACTGTAAGGGATATAATAGGTAATGTAACTGGTAATGTAACTGTAAGGGATATAATAGGTAATGTAACTGTAAGGTATGTAACTGGTAATGTAACAGTAAGGAATGCAACAGGTAATGTAACAGTAAGAGATATAATAGGTAATGTAACTGTAAGGTATGTAACTGGTAATGTAACAGTAAGGAATGTAACAGGTAATGTAACAGTAAGGAATGCAATAGGTAATGTAACTGTAAGAGATGTTATAGGTAATGTAACAGTAAGGTATGTAACTGGTAATGTAACAGTAAGGAATGTAACAGGTAATGTAACAGTAAGGAATGCAACAGGTAATGTAACTGTAAGAGATGTTATAGGTAATGTAACTGTACGGGATGTAATAGGTAATGTAACAGTAAGAATGTAACTGGTAGTGTAATAGGTAATGTAACAGTAAGAGATGTTATAGGTAATGTAACAGTAAGGGATATAATAGGTAATGTAACAGTAAGAATGTAACTGGTAGTGTAACAGGTAATGTAACAGTAAGAGTTATAATAGGGAATGTAACAGTAAGAGATGTTATAGGTAATGTAACAGTAAGGTATGTAACTGGTAATGTAACAGTAAGGAATGTAACTGGTAATGTAACAGTAAGGAATGTAACAGGTAATGTAACAGGTAATGTAACAGTTAGGAATTTAACTGGTAATATAACAGTAAGGACTGTAACAGGTAATGTAACAGTATGGAATGTAACAGGTAATGTAACATTGTGTAATTTAACAGGTAATGTAACAATATGTAACATGCGCCAACCTCCCAGGCTATATCACAGTCTGTAAAATATCAGTCTGGAACAGGAGAAACAGGACTGAAAGCCTGAGCAACGATCTCCGGCATGGGGCTTGACTATCCGATCCAAATTAGTAGCCTCTTACAAGCCACATAGTGCTGGGGACCTATGTTCCAACCCGGGTCCCACGGGATGATTTCAGATGAACACATATCTTCATTCAAGATCGGGGATTAGGACCTCCTTGACATATCAATGTATGCCATATCATTGACTCATAAAGAATATCAATTTGGGTTTGACAAAAACTGTTTGTTCAAACGGTTGGACAACTGAACATGAAATAACTTAGTGTATTATATATATTAATATATATATTCAATTAGACCCTGTGGCGACTCACGATATACACACAACCAGTCATCATTGTGTCATTTCTATTTCAGGGATTGCCACTGGGTCAGTTTACACAGACGAGGATCTGAGACTCCATGGCTTTCCCGGAGAGAGTCTGTCTAATGGTTCCGTGGTAGCTGTGAAGACACACCAGTTGTTCGACGAGACGTTCTATGACAGAACCATTCTTATAATAAGAAACCCGTATGAAACATTCCTGTCCCTGTTCAAATATATCAAGGCCAACCACACAGGAGCGCCCATCATCGACAAATATTTCACCGGTAAGTGCATACATGTTCTTTCTAACACTTTCATAACACAAGAAGTAATGGAAAATACATTGTTTTAGCGACAAAACCGTGTCCAGAATCATTAGGAATCTCTTAAAAAAGCAACGTCTATTCTACGATTCCGACTATTTCCAGCCCAAACTATTTCAGGCCAAAACCACGCACCAGTACTATTCATTTTTGTCTTGACCCATGCCTCTTTTGTACCAGATTCCAAAGCTCACTAGAAATTCGTACAAAGAGAGGTATATTGCTTGCTCAAGCAATGTACCACCGAATCGATGTCTCCAGGATCAACCATAATCATTAATTCTTTCTTTATATTCAAAGAAAACATTTGAGACAAGTGGAAATAGTACCATGTGGATCCTCAAAAACTCAACGGATTTGCTTGAAATATTGCAATGTCAGAAAAGAATGATGTTCATTTGTATCAAAACATGGTTTTTAAACTATGTACACCCCATCCCAACCCGACAAACTTAAGGAAGAACATCTTCCCTGGATCCGTGGGACATTTGTTGACTATAGATATAATAAGTTCTCTATCTTCAAAGGTTTAGCTCAATTTGTCAAAATAAGAAAGAAAATATCATCTTAAGCTTACTGTGAAAAAAATAGGTGAAACCCTTGACTTCCTCATCGATAACATCAATGTGAAATTTGTGGATAAGACATTTAGGCAAGAAGCAGGCACCTCCTGGGCACCAATTGTGCCCCCTTCTTGCTTAATTAATTGTGATGTGCAAGGACATTATTTATTGAAGAAACCACGTTCGTGACTTTATTAATAAAAGGATGGAGAAAAAACTCACAGCGGATGTCACTGACTTACAAATAGCAACGTCATAGAACATAATATAGGATGACTTCACAACCAAGAAACGTGACGCTAATGACGTCACATAGATAGCAGCCCGTCGTTAGGAAAGAGCGGAATGCTACCAAGCTACAGCAGCTCGCAGCTTCTGAAAACACGCGGGCATTTTTATGATAATTCGATCCATTTCATCTCTAATACTTCTTTAAACGTTCGCTTTAGTGCATTACATATTCCATTGTTAACGTTTGTGATTACATTAAAACGTTGTATCGGAAACAGATGTACTGGTCCTGTCATTTATACCTGATATTTATGCCTGATACTCAAGAATCGGATATAGAATAAGGGGAGTAGTTTGAGCCTGATACTCAATAATCGGATATAGAATTGGGGGAGTAGTTTGAGCCTGATATCAAAGAATCGGATATAGAATTGGGGGAGTAGTTTGAGCCTGATATCAAAGAATTGGATATGAAATAGGGGAAGTAGTTTGAGCCTGATACTCAAGAATCGGATATAGAATAGGAGAAGTAGTTTGAGCCTGATACTCAAGAATTGGATATGAAATAGGGGAAGTAGTTTGAGCCTGATACTCAAGAATCGGATATAGAATAAGGGGAGTAGTTTGAGCCTGATACTCAAGAATTGGATATGAAATAGGGGAAGTAGTTTGAGCCTGATACTCAAGAATCGGATATAGAATAGGGGAAGTAGTTTGAGCCTGATACTCAAGAATCGGAAGCAGGACACAGGGAGTATTCTGAAAATAAATTATGGGTTACGAAAAGTATAGTGATCTAAGGGGGTCACCTTGAGTTTTCCAACTAAAGTTAAATATAAAACTGTTATAAAATAATTGGCACTAAAACATCTGACACACAGAATTGGGGATAATTCTTAACCTAACAATTCAGAATAGAAAATTAGGAGGGGTTGAAAACCTTTATAATACAAGATATGTTTGATCTTTTCTGTAATCATTTTGTTTCAAAACAAGGGGGGTCATTTGGGCCCAGTAGGGGAGTTAGCTGAGCCTAGAGGGAGTGGTTTGAGCCTTACTAGGGGAGTCATGTGAGCCTAGGCCCATATGATCATGACTCTAGAGTCAAATTTAGGGGGAGTCGTTTGAGCCTACTACAGCGGTTGTATTTTGACATGACATGTGCGACAATCACGATCTATAGAAGCTTTGTTGAATCGTTACATCCCGAGTAGACAATATAACATTATAAATATGCGAACTTTCTTTCAGAATGGGGATCCTTTACTGCGAATGAGATTGGTCATTATAGTCAGTTCTATACTTCCTGGATGAAGCATCTGGATGTTCTGCCCATCTTCTATGACGCACTAAAACAGAACCTCACACAGGAATTACACAGGATTAAAGTGTTCCTGGGACAGTCGGGTATTAAAGGAGACATTCGCTGTGCCTTGGCAAACGCTGATGGGAACCATCTGAGAAAACATTCTGCAATTCCTCTTGATTTCTTCTATTCTAAAGAAAAAAGACTTGGGATTAATTTGTTGATCAATCAAACGCGAAAGATGTTCAAAGACCGGTTCAGAAATGTCAGCGAAAGCATGGAGACCTGGATGTTGTGATGGAAATACCAAAGATTTGACAGTCACTGATTAAATAAAGAGAGACCGAAGGACATGTTGCTGAATGTCAAGCATGTTTTGAGTGTTTAGTGTAAAGCGATTTAGTCTTGCAGGTTTAAACCATGTCCGAGTTATCGCAAGATACACACATTGTGAGTGAGTGAGTGAGTGAGTATGGTTTTACGCCGCTTTTATCAATATTCCAGCAATATCACGGCGGGGGACACCAGAAATGGGCTTCACACAATGTACCCATGTCGGGAATCGATCCCGGGTCTTCGGCGTGACGAGCGAACGCTTTAACCACTAGGCTACCCGACCGCCCCAACAAATTGTGAGACATAAATATTTTGTATGTTCGTCGTCCCAGTGTTTCCTGACTACATTTATATTCCAAATAAGAGTCTGTGCTATATGCACAAGATATAAGACATATTACGGATGATTATTTGTACAGGATCAACATGGCTGCATCAAAACCAATCCAATGTTTACGATTCGTTATATATGTTCCAGTGAGTGAGTGAGTGAGTGAGTACGGTTTTACGCCACTTTTAGCAATATCACGGCGGGGGACATCAGAAATGGGCTTCACATATTGAACCCACGTCAGGAATCGAACCCGGGTCTTCGACGTGACAAGCGAACGCTTTAACCACTAGGCTACCCGACCGCCCATGTTCAAGTAAAGGAGAAGACATTTGTACATATATATAACTTGGGCGGTCGGGTTCGCTCGTTACGCCGAAGACCCGGGCTCGATTCCCGAAATGGGTACAATGTGTGAAGCCCATTTCTGTTGTCCCCCGCTGTGATATTGCTGGAATATTGCTAAAAGCGGCGTAAAACCACACTCACTCACTACATATATAATTTGCATTGTGTATGAGCGCAGTGTGACTTGCTTGGATGTATGAACCGTTTCCGATTTTAGTAATCATATGATGTTCCATGAAAAACCTTTGAACCGTTGTTTTTGAGCATATGTTATACAAAATCAAATTTCACCTCCACTTGCGCTTCAGTTTTTTAGAAAAGAGATGATGGTTACAACCTAAATTGAGTAAATAAAATATAGGAACAGTTTACACTTGGTTCAATGACATCGTTGTATAGCACGTAGGAACATATGTAAATAAAAAATGAACCTTTTTAACGGTCTCGAAAGATGTTTTTCACAGACGGCCCAGCCCGTCAAGATCCGGGGTAGAATAGGTCTTCAGCAACCCATGCTTGCCGTAAAAGGCGACTATGCTTTTCGTAATAGGCGACTAACGGGATCGGGTGGTCTGGCTCGCTGACTTGGTTGATGCATGCTCATGATATCAATCACTTGATTGTCTGGTCCAGATAAATATTGTGTGTGGCGTTAAACAACAAACCAAGCAACCTCAGACGGCCCAAAGGTCAAACAAATACACAAAAGGCCATGCCTTGTCTGGCGAGGGTTGTTTCTATCATTGAGATGTACATGGGATCAAGATCTTAAGCAAGTTTCCTTAGAAGTGTTTCTGTAATGATAGAAGCTCACGTATATACATGTGAACAAAGTCTATTTCACCTGTGCGCTTTTCATATTGTGGTAAATGGAATAAAGTGTCCCAGTATGTATATTGTAAAAGATTTTAAGCTCGTCTGACATAACTGTACCGAGGGTGTACTCCTCCTTTAATTTGTGGGGCGCGCGGGTGGTCCAGTCGTCGAAGGCGCCGCGAGTAAATGTGCAGAGTTGCGTCCCTTGGGCACGCCAGAATCCTATGATTGTGGGTTCGAATCTCGGTTCGTCCCGATTATGTTTCTAGGTTTGTCGGCACCACACCCGTGCTCGTGGGTGATAAACGCCTGAGACCTGCATCACTTCGGGCTTTCCTCCCACATTAAGCTGACACGCCGCGATATGAATGGAATACTGTTAAAAGCGGCGTTAAACCAAACTCACTCACTCACTCCTTTAATTTGTATTGATACAAGTTAACACATATAAGCATGTGCCGAAAAATGGCAAATGAGAAGATGAACTTCTTGAATATCTCTCGGAGTGGGTGTGCCCCATTGGAGGGGTACTGCTGCAGGGTGGCAGGAAACAAACACATACTTTTTATGCAAATTGTGGGTGGTGGATGCCACGGGTAGGGTATGACATGCTTACCTTTCCACGGACAGTGTCATCACTGGTTTTCTGTGATCCATTCATATAAATTTCACCGCTATTTTGCCTGTGACGCCCAATAGAATCTGTTTCGTCGGATACTCGAGACTGGTAATAATATGGTGTTGTCATTTCATGCTGAAGTCCATGCATGGTTTTGTCATTGGTACAATGGACTGAACAATAATAAACATTTTCGCTTTTGTTTTTGACATTGTCGTTTTGGTTTTTGACATTTCCATTTTAGTTTTTGACATTTTCGCTTCACATTTCGGCAACTCAATAGCTACTTGAAAGTACATTTTCTATGTTTTCGGTTGTTTTTATACATGATTTATCACACATTTGTATGACAAATTGTGTTGATTTGCAAAAGGTTACGATAAAAGTAAGTGAAACATCAAAATATTGAAAAACAGACTCCATGTCCCTTAGGGGCCACCGTAGGAGCCAGATACTTATACAACGTGTTTCATCATCATCAGGGCCACACCATCTGAGGCTTTGTGAAGTATTTGATCACTTTACATGGTAGACACGTGGAGGTCATTTCCAAATCTGACCATCAGTGACTAAAAGATGGCCGCTGAAATTCCATAGTTTGCTTTACACCACATGTTTACGTGTTTTATTCATGTGAGCAATTGACTTGCCACTGCATGTGTTTATGAAGGGTGCAACCGGTGGTGCAGTATACACTCACACCTTTCCGCGAACACGTGGTATTATCACTATTCACACATTCTGAATACGATTATTGAAAGGCTTTTATCACATTTTGTTTACATAGTGTGCTATGGTAGAATTATTTAATAGGGCATGCGAACCATAATACTGTTTCATTCAATAATTAACATTTCGAACATGTGAGAACGCTGCGATAAAGAATATTTCTGATAAAGCTAGTTGAACTAACTTACATGATCAACTGCATCCACAAATTAGAGAGGTGGTGGTGGAATGGGGTTTAACGTCGCGTCCAAGATTATTGCACTTATATAGCGACGTGCATGTACGTGTGTGTGTTTGTGTGGCTGCTTGTACTAGTCCGGACTGATGCCGATTTATAGTGCTAGCCCACTGAGATACCATGCCGCAGTTTAACATGAATACCCCACTCTGACACGGTATACTGACTCCGAGCCGACCAGTCCTTGTTTTAGCCCCTTAATGCCGAGCGCCAGACAGGGTAACAACAAGTACCATCTTTTAACGTCTTTTGGTATGACGCGGCCGGGGATCGAACTCGGACCTTCCGCTCTCCGGGCGGACGCTCTACCACTAGACCACGGAGGCGGTCCCACAAATTAGAAAGAATGGTAACCATTGGTGGGTGGGTGGGTGAGTTCGGTTTTACGCCGCTTTTAGCAATATTCCAGCAATATCACGGCGGGGGACACCAGAAATGGGCTTCACACATTGTACCCAGGTAACCATTGGTAGTCAGGACTATTCAAAGTGGATCAATCTGAAAATGATCACGTGGCTGCTCTTGTTATAAAGTCACATTTCCGTTGTAGAAAGTAGACCACTCTCATAAATTGTTTTCAACTCTCAACGTACCTCCATTCCATTTTTGAACAGCGTTTAACCATTTACTTCAGTTTGTAAATAATCGAGCTAGGACCAGACAATCCAGTTAGTGATGTCATGAGTGAGTGAGTGAGTGAGTTGGGTTTAACGCCGCTTTTAACATTATCCCAGTTATATCACGGCGTGTCAGCTTAATGTGGGAGGAAAGCCCGAAGTGATGCATGTCTCAGACGTTTACCACTTCGGTGAAACCCACGAGCACGGGTATGGACATGACATATTCATTGACAAAACCTTTACCAGGTAACAGGAGATAGAGCGACACGCCCTAAAATATGGGTGGTGGTGTCACAAGTCAATTGACAATGTAAATATAAATTAGTATATTTGGCCATCATGTGCATTGATACAGGAGAGACAACGGCGCATTGAAGACAGCAGATGATTGAAAACAGCCTGAGGGATGTTGCTCAAAAGGTTAACAAAAGATTTGTCCAACTGAGCTAGCCTTACCGGATGGTTCTAGTCTTGTCGTAGGCGTCAGCCTATCTCATCCAAGACACTTTCCATGAGAGAGGTCTGGAGAAACAGCCGGCCATGCAGTTCAGCAATTTTATGCTGCCTCAAAAAGTGCTACAACATGCGCAACGTGTGGGTGGGCATCATCTTGCTGCGACGTGGCGTTACGTGCCTACATTTGCAAAAAGGGAAGAAAATGATCTCGAACATTCTTCCCTAGTGGTGTACAGTTTAAGCGTGGCAGGAAAAGTCTAGATGTCGACCTATATCCTGGAAGGGCTGTCACGACAGCAAAACAAGACATTATCAAGGGAATCTACGATATAGATCTGACCGACTGGCGAATGACCGAGCATCATATTGCTAGTTCAGTATGATCATTTAAATCTTCGTGGTAACAGCAAGCTCGATTATACCTCAACGTTTGAGCAAAGTAGACACTACAGATTGGAACTGTTGGAATATTGCTCGACATAAAGGTAAAGATGTCTTTTGGAAAGTTGAAGTCATCCCCCTTGCCATACAATATTGTGGAGAGTGTTCTTTAGACTCGCTTGTGTAGATAACTATATTTCATATTGGTAATGTATAATTTGTAACTTAGATCATTAGTGGCTGTATCGTCAAAGGGGTTTGAAGTAGCGTAAAATTATTGTCCCCCTGAGAGGATATGTAAGACCACATCATTCAAAGTACCTTTATGCCACAGTTTTAAACGCAGTATATTTGTTTATTTTAACTAATGGCTTCATTGCGTACCATCAGCAGCAGCTAAGGGGTAGGAGTAAATCCTGCTGGGGAACCGTGCAGGTGGCAGAAGTATTGTAAGTTCCCACGGTCTCTAGTAAGGTGGCCTACCTTTGGTTGCTGGTGATCTATAGCCCATTTTTATATTGTATTGTTGAATAAAATTGTATTCTTTTAATCTTTCTCAAACTGTTTTAAAATCGAAACTGTGATATTCTAGCTATTCTACTGTCCTTAGCTGACAGGTTTTTATTCCATATAAATCTAGGTATTATGTCTCCGTTCTGTAAGGTGAGATTTAACCTCACATCGGCAATATTTCAGCCATATCGTGACGAAAGTATTACAGGTCCACATACTTACATTTTGCGCTGGGCCTGGTTTTCCTTGTCATTTCTGGCCATGACATGACGTCACATATATTATTTTCAAATGACGTCACGAGCACGTGCTTTTTAGGTGAAGGCGAACACCGATGTTCACAGTAACCAAAATAAGAAAAAACTCTTGAAGAATTAATATTCATTTGCAAACTAAGATCTTAACAAGTATAATTGATGAAAAGTAAACAGGATAAAGACAACTAGCTTGTTTGTATCATAAATTCAAAAGAACTTGTTGATGCCTTTATTTAACCTCGCGATTTACTGTTAACTTACAACGCTAAACGTTCAACCAACGTTGTCCCAACGTAACATCGTCGACCAGACTCGATCAGTGTCTACAACGTTATGCCAACGTTGGCCCAACGTTACCATGATATCTGGAGTGTTTTTGTATCTTTTAAAGCATATATCATGCATAGAACTACTGTATTCTTTGAATATTAAAATAAATATATTAACTGTTTACGATACAGAATATACAACGGTATTAGATCTCTTTTCGTATATTGTCACTCTCAAAGAAGCGAACTTAAACGTTTTATTTCACTAAAGTCTATTTCTAATCGTATAGGAATACAATACGAACCAATGAGTAACCCCCTCCCCCATTTTTATATAGTGCCAAGTGATATATAATCCATGTTTGTTGACATAAGCACTTACACACCGAGAAACCACTTTGAACTGAACTTTTTGTGAAGATTACGCAAAGTTTGTCAACAAATTGGCATCGCATCTACGCACAGAGCTTTCTGAAGACCTTAGATTGGAGTATTATATCATGCCTACCAGCTTGGTATATCACATCGATAACACTAACCATTTTATGATAAAGTTATTTATTTACGGTTGCGGGGAATGTGAAGGTACGATGTTAATTAGAAAGTTTTGAGTCTTAATACTGATCTGTTGTACGGAGCTGGGTAAGCAGGGAAGAATATGTATCCTCCAGCTGTGATATTGATATCACCGCCATAGGTTATATTAAGGTGCTCAATAATATCAGATGATTTATTACCCGTGGGGTCAATCATATCGTTGGTCATGTATATACCATGAACACCTGGGCAGACACAACGCGGGTTATATTACCGGGTTCTTCTGTACAACGTCACAGCTTGTCACTGTTGTCGCATCGTATCGATGTAGTGAGCCAGTGATGACACGGTGACCACCATCTCAGGGTAGAATGATCTTTAAGGAACATGGTTATAAGCTATGTATATCACACCTTCAACGTATCGTATCGATGTAGTGAGCCAGTGATGACACGGTGACCACCATCTGAGGGTAGAAGGATCATTAAGGAACATGGTTATAAGCTATGTATATCACACCTTCAACGTATCGTATCGATGTAGTGAGCCAGTGATAACACGGTGACCACCATCTCAGGGTAGAATGATCATTAAGGAACATGGTTATAAGCTATGTATATC